CCCTGCCCCAACAAGTGATATGGAGAGCACTCTCCCACACACCAAACAAAACACACACACACACACACACACACACACACACACACACACACACACACACACACACACACACACACACACAAACACACACAACCATGATGGTCAAAGACCCTACCCATACCGGGTGGAGCAAGCCAACTATCGCAGTTGGTTGGCACCAAGTGTGCTCCAGGGAGTCAGTGGGGATTGAACCCCATCCTCCTTAATGCCACTTGTGTGCCTTGTGATGCGCGGGCTTACGTGCATGAACGAGTGCTTGAGCCTTTTTCTGTTGGGATGCTCTTTCTGTGATGGTGCTCAAACAAATCCAGTTTCAGTTCCTCTACCTGGTCCAGATTGCATTCCCATCAGATGATGACGTCGGGGTTCAGGTTGTCTCGGTCGACATGGGGCTGTAATTTTGGTTCTCCGAGCCCTTGACTATTCGCAGGGTTTGTCCTTGATGCGTTCCGATGGATGGGACACGTTGTCTAATCCTGTCATTTCGTTTTTGAACTTTTTGGAATTGTCCTTGTATCTTGTTGTGCTTTTTCACTTAAGATGTACGCACTCCATAGCGAGCGCACTCATGATTTTTTTCCTTTCCGAATTCCAGAGATCATGGGTGCCTATTGGCATACTTTGCAACGAGTCATTTCTTTGTGTATGCACATTTTGGAGACATCCCTGTAAATCTTGTGAACTTTTTGCTAATGGATGACAAAATAACAATCGACGTAGGAACTCGTGCACTTTAGTACTTGCGCGTGGAACAATTTCAATTCAACTTTAAGAATGAGGCGCAACTTCACTGACACTTCACATTACTATTTTTGTGTCAGTTTTATTTGCATGAATTCATCTCTCTTTGCCGCGCTCTTGCATGCAATCTTTCCCCATTTCTGCTGTGCTTTTCTTCGTGCCATCATCGACAATCTGTAACTCTCTTCTCCTCCCCTTTGCACCCTTCCTTTCTTTTTGGTCCCACTGAATCTTGGTTTTGCTTCATACTACTTCATGTAACCTTTTTTCTCGTCTTTGTCTACTATACGTAGGAAGGCTTTGTTGATCCCCCGAGCAATCGTAGAAGTCAGACGACAGCATGTAAGGGGGCTTTGAACTCTCCACTCTGTGATCCGATTGGCTAAGAAGTGCTTTGAGGCCCTCCTGCATCCCTCCCATTCTCTATCCCGCATCATTACCCTCCTCCCGTCTCTTTCGCGACTATGAATTATGCAAGCACATGATTTTTGCTCTTTCGCTAAATCGTTGCGACTGACTGCAGAATTTGGGCGGATCCTCATTGTAGTTGAGTGGAATGGATGACGATCGCCGAGGTTTAGCACTGAATACAAGGCGACCGAGATCGCTAGTGCTAAAGTGGCATGAGGAATATTGATGGTTAGTTGACTAGCCTAGGGCCATATCCCTAGAGGTTTTGTATTTTGTCATTTTTTTTTCTCGTCTTATATTTAGAGTTAAGTTGCATGGCGAGATGCCAATTTTCCTTCCCAATCAAACGAGTGTATATTTTCTTTTTCCTTCTCGTCTTCTCCATTCAAATGGATGCATGAGTGAATGGTGGTTGTGTGTGTATGACTTGCGATGGTTGTATGCGTGTAAATGTGTCTTCGAGTCTTGCTCTTCGTCCCACCCCCTCGTTTTCAGGATCCCGCTTGGCAAGGATCTTCAAAATGTGAGCGTCGACGACGAACGTCCAGTAGATGAATACCTTTTTGGATGCTAGTGTGTACATTTTCTCTCTCTTTTGTGGAGCTTTTTGAAACGGATGTGCGGATATTTTAATGATGGATGAATGAATGATTTCTACTTTCTTTTGTTTTTTTCATAATTGGGATTTTTTCCTAAATAAATCCTCCGCACTCTGAATCATCGGCACCAATATCTCTCCGTTACAATCTTCAACTTGCAAGAAAATGTAATGACCAGATCCACTACGCCCCTGGCGATTGGGAACGCGAAGTACTCCAGTCGGCGAACATCCTCTTTACTTCTCTTTCTTCATCTTCATTTTAAATAAACATCTCCTCGTGTGATTAAAAGTACGATCGACTAACGATCATGAGTAAATCTTGTGTCTGCTTGAAGGGTTTAGGAATAAGTACTCTTTAAAGATGCTCAACTCGTGAAGATCTTTGCTCTTCCTGTCACTTTGAAAGGACAAGGCATCGCATGGAATGATCCGAGTAACTATTTTGTTGTCATCACTCATAACTTTGTCTTCGTTTTTGCCCCTTTAAAGAACCCACGATTACCTCTTAGGAAACTTCTTCCTTAACTCTTTCATTAGTTTCTTGGGTAATCCCCCTTCACAAAGGACCATCGGGCGTGAAAGTCACATTGTATTGCCTTATTTTCTCTGCAAAGGTGATTCCCTAAGTTAATTGGGTTTGATTGCCTTGTTTTGTGAGTGGTGGATGCGTGCGTGCCGGCCATGTGGGCTGAACCAGTCAAGCCATCGAGGCACCGACTTATTCAACATCCCACCAGCTATTTCGTGTCCGTAGTCCTGAAGCTGTCCGCCCCCCGTGTTAACCAGCGGGCATTTGTTTTTCAAGCAGGGAAATGTACTGGTCGTTTAACGAGCTGATTGTCATCCCGTGACCGACAATTGCTCCCCATTAGTCGCACTTTGTGCAACGATTGTTGCCACATGGAGTGCTTAGGAGCCCAAGGATTCAACTATTGGACACGCGACGAAGAGGAGTTAAAGGAGAAACTAGTGAGACCTCGACCATCCGACTCAGATTCCGAACTCAGCGAGGAACGTCATTGATCCCTCGTTAGGAACCGCGACCCTACATATGTTCCTACTGCTTTTCGACCCGGAAAAGGACATCGCACTGCTCGTGACGAAGTTCAAAGATACTTTTTGGATTACCCCATTTCGTTGGAAAGGATTCTTTTCTACTTTTTCAACCTCGCTCGTCGCTCCGTATCTGAGACCTCACGATAGATTTCAGTTTTGTCTGGGTCTCCACACTCAATTTCCAAAATTCCTTGGCACACCTCATTTTGCGGTTTTCTAGGCCCTTTTCCGTATCTGGGACCTCACGGGAGATTTCAGTTTTGTCTGTATCTGGGACCTCATGGGAGATTTCAGTTTTGTATGTATCTGAGACCTCCTGGGAGATTTCAGTTCTGTCTGGGTCTCCACACTCAATTTCCAAAAATCATTGGCACACCTCATTTTGCTGCTTTTCAGACCCTTTTCAGCATTTTAGTCACTCGGACAGGAAAGTTGTCCGGGGTGTGAGGTTGATGGTCACAGCGTAACTAACTGAGTTGAAAATGAGCTAGTCATCTTACTCGGGAAAGAAAAGAGTGTTCTAAGCGCATTTGGTTCAAAATACGCATATAGGTCATGGGTTCGATCCCCAATGACCGCCTGAGCACACGTAGTTCCAACCAACTGAGATACTTGGCTTGCTCCCTCCAGTCGGTATTGGTAGGGTCTTTGGCCATCACGAATCTGTGGGGGGGTCTTGTGTGTGGTGTGCGAGTGTTGGCCATAGCCACTGCTACTCGAAGGGGTCGGGGAAGGGGCGAGGGGCAACATCAATCCCCTTGATTGTGAGAGGTAGCTTTGCTTGCAGGGTCCCTTGCCGACCTTCTTCCCCCAATACAGCATACGGTCATTATAGTTGTATTTGGGATATCTTTCAGTCTATATATAGCTATAATGACCGTACATTGTATTCAGGGGAAGAAGGGTAGGTTGAGAGTAGTGAGAGGTAGGTAGTGAGAGAGAAGAACATATAGCTTAGGACCTCATTAGACCCTCCTTGGAAAACCGCAAAATCAGAAATCGGCGTCGTTACACCGCGTCGTAAATCGCCAAATCCCTTGAATGAATGTAAAAACGCTCCCAAGATATTTCCTTGGGTTCCTCGGAATCCCCAACCAAAATGTCCTTGGATTCAAGGGGTCCTCGCGAGGTCCCTTGGGATAAAGGATCCGCAATAGACAGAGCAATCTGGAGCTCGCGACCATCAGAGAATTCGGAGTCGATGTTGGTGCACAGGTCATCCGTGGTCCATTGGGCAGACATCGCCAGCCTCCAGTACCCGATGGGCAGCCAACGGCCTTTAGACCGTTACCGTTGGTGCAAAAATGCGTAAGGGCGGATCTTCAGCTATGAGGCACTCCGCGGAGCGGGGTTTTGCGTGTCGACGGCCTCCACGCCCAACGATCGATTTTTTCAATTTTTTTACAAGCGGCGTTGAAGCACTATCGACCGATTGCAGTCATCCCCGTAGGTTGTTTTGTCAGCTATTGTTGCCCGTGGGGATGCAATCTTCGTTTGGTACACGCGTCACACGCTGCGATTCATGGCAGACGTCCTCCGACGGTTCCCGCTGCGGCTGCAGGCCACTCTTCTCCTGCTCGTTGTCATGTTCTTCCACGTGTGCGTCGTTGTGCGGGGTCCTCGTGGTGGATGAAAATGACGAACTTTGAGAAAGACGACGATGGACAGGCGTAAAGCATCCAATAGACAACTGGCGCACGCCGTTGAGTATTCCGCTTCGGGAGCGACGACCAGGGCGCGTCTTGCAGGCGCGTATGACCCGACATTGTACAGTCATTTCCCGCCTCACGAGCAGCCGTTACCGCCGGATCCCAAAGAGGAATGGGTGGATGATCTGTCCCACACTCTGCCTCTGGGAGTGGATCGACGCAGGACTGGATGGGGAGCCATTGTAGACAATAGGAGGCCGTGACAAGTCGTCATTCGTTCTCTGCTTTGCTAGAGGACGATGTCGGTGGAGGCGATACGGAGATTGTGGACTTGGATTTTGGTTTGTCGAGCGGGAGTGGTCCAACAGCTACACACACTCGCACGTTGAACCAAGTGCCTGGTGTGACCATCGGCGGATTGAGTGTGCATGGTGGAAGGTCCTCTCCGCAAGGTGCGAGCCCTGATGGGTGTCGTTCGCTGCCTTCATTTTCTCGGGGTGCAGGATCATCCAGTGACATGCTTCGCACGTCGTTGTCCCCCCCTTCAGCATCGCTTTTGAGTACACCGCACCAGAGGATGGACGCACTGGAGGCGAACACAAGCGTTGCCGGATCAAACGAAGTTGGCAGGCAGGCGTGGGAGTCATGTCGGCGACAGATGCGTCAAATGGTTGCGGAGAACATAACGAATGGGGTGTCCAGGATGCGTGTGGCGAGTGGAGAACCGAATGCAGAAGACTCACAACGGGCGAGCGATTATGAATCTACAGATGTGATTTGTGAAGACGAAGCGGAAGACGCGGACGACATGGAGATTCGACCCTTGCCTGTGCGTGGCAGAGGAAGGGGTGGAGTCGTGCATCAAGAGAAGTTCGTTTTCCGTGGTGGTCGCCGCTCGAAGTGTCCGCCAGGCGAGAAGGCAGGGAAACGTCCGACGTGGACTGTCGAGGAGATGCTGACGCTCGCCCGGGCGAAGAGGGATCAGCAAGCTCATTTCAAGGGCATGCCGCACAACTACGGATGAATGCACAACAGGGAATGGAAGCTGCAAGACCTTCAAAAGCGTTTGCTGGAGGCGGGGGTTGAGAGGACGGTTGATGGCATCGGCAAGAAATGGGACAACCTCTTCCAACGGTACAAGAAAGTGCAACGGTATCAGAACGCCTCTAGGGGGAAGAACTTCTTCAACCTCGCACATGCATTAAGAACGGAAGAAGGCTTCAACTTCATAATGGAGGAGCGCGTGTACGATGAGATAAACGCCAAGTCGAAGGGCAATAAGACCATCTACCCGGACAACGTCGCCGACACAAGCGCCCGTGGAGGACTGCAGATGTCACGTTCCCCATCCGTTGCTGGAGAATCCGTCTCTGGGGGTGATGAGGGTGATGGGAACGACGACGACGGAGGGTCGGCGCGGGAGTCCGGGAGTCTGGAATCAGTGCAGGCAGCACGGGAGGGAACTGCAAAAGGAAGAACATGCGGCAGCAGACATTCAAGACCATTGCTCAAGTCATGGACAAGCACGGCGCATTGATGACTGACATTGTTGAGGGGGTCAGCAAGCGACAGTATTCTATTCTAGAGCGGCACTGCGACATTCTCGAGCGTGAGGTTGATGCCCAACAGCGGCACTACAAGGCGTCGCACGAGGCTAACAGGTTGATGTGCACTGGTCGCCAAAGCCATCAGGGACAAGTCTTGATGCCGCCTCTGCTCTTGTCCGTCCATCCGCAAGCGATGCGCTCGTCGCTTGTTGTGTTGTACTGCCGAACTCATCTACGTACGTATATACATTTAATTTATTATGTATAATACATACATAGATGTGTATGTTTTTTTTTTAGGGGAGAGAGAGAGAGAGAGGGAGAGAGAGAGGACTCGGCGAGTCGTGGGTGTTGGATGGACCGATCGGCAGGCGGGGGGGGGGGGGGGGGGGGGGGGGGGGGGGGGGTTGCAAATTCGGGTGGGAAGGGCGGGCGGGAACTTTTTGAACTGCGGAAGGGTGGCTTTGGGTGGGAGGTTGTTGTGGAGGTGGGAAAAAGGCACAGTCGACCCATAACTGCAACGAGGATGCGTGTGGCGACGAAACAGGCAACCGGTCACTTTGCTTGGGGATGGTGACCTTTCGCTATTGATTGACGTCGATCGCATGAAGCGGGAAGGACTTCGATCATCTGCGCACTCCTTTTGATTAAACGCCATATTGCCGGAAGCGAGTCGAGGCAGGGAACGGTGATGCAAGGCAGTATAAAGGACCGACACGGGTATGCTTCATAGCATGAGCAGGGCACCTCGACGCGTATGTCTTCCCGCCTCAACGTCGTCCTTTCATCACGCGACGATGTGAACGTGGTCGCCAACGAAGCGCAGGTCCAATCTGACGACTGGTGCGTCCATCGCTGTCTTCGCAGGTGAGCGGTCAATAGTCTCCCCCCCGCGGCGTCGACGTCGAGGACCTCTCTCGGTCGGAGAGAGAGAGAGAGAGAGAGAGAGAGAGAGAGAGAGAGAGAGAGA